ATGTGTTGACCAAAGTCAAAGACTAAATACACTGTCCCTTGACGGGGTTGTGGTATAATGGTCTCTCCTCCCTCTGCACCTGCTCTGTGGCTCCTGTGACTCTGCCTCTTTGCTTCCCAGGCTCCCATTCAGAATGAGCTTTCCTGCATCGCAGTTACAAATTTCCACAGTGCCATCTGGAGATATGAATGGGTTTTAAGGGCTGGGCCATACGTGCACCTGAATCCAAGAAGCGATTATTTGCCAGTCAGAACGGAAGACAGAGCAGGTGGGTGGGTGGGTGGAGATTCAAATCTACTCAGAGATTCTCCCTTCCAGGTGGCCATTCTAGTTCTAGAGACAATGTTCTTCATTTGCATTTGTCAACTATCATTTGTATTTGTGGGCAATCTGTGAGTGACACACCACAGTTGGTCTTCAATCAACCAGGAGTTTGTGGGGAGAGTTTGATTCCATTTCGGTTAATACAGTCTTATGGCCAAGGCCTAGCTGAGGCTCAGAGACTCAAGTGTCAGGAGAAAATCTCAGTTTCAACGCCATCTGTCTGGATGGCTTCTGTGAGGTCCCGTCTGAAGAAGGGAAGGGGGAGTGATGAGATGACTCCCCTGCAGGTGTGGAGGGCCTTGGGGTCAGCCTGGAGGGAGTCCACATGACAGGCTCCTCTGAGTGAGGGCTCTGAGCTGGGGAAGGCATTTGACTTCTAGGAGAATGACTAACGACAGCGTTAACGGAACTGCTGCTGCCTCCTAACTCCGCTTCCCGCTCCCCGCTCCATCTGTTTCTCAACTCCGACTCTGCCAGCAATCTATTCTTGCTTCCACTTTCCAATAAGTTCCTAAAGGCACCAATGGTATACAAGCCCCGCTCCTAAGAGGAGGGGGCCACTCAGCCAGGAGTCAGCACGCTGGAGCCAACACCCGTGATTAACATGCTGGCCCTGAAACGCGAGAAGCTGGGAAAGAGAGGCTGTGGGGTGTTTCAGTGACTCATGGTTTCTACCAGCATCCTGTTCAAACCTGAGCTCCTCAAAGAAGCTTTCCCTGATCTGATCAAGATTATCCCAGCACAGATCACCTGTCCATTTATAACCCTATCCCATCCCCCCACGCCTGCCCGCGACCGCGTGTGGTCAAGTCCATGCTGTGGATCGTCCACACCACGTTCAGTCCCGCTCTCGCCAGCCACAGAGTGCAGTCTAGGCCACAGGCTGGGAGCACTGAACGAGGGCTGGCCCACTTTATGATTATTTTAAACAACATTTAATTAGGAATGAATACGTATCACAGTATGTATCCAAAGCTTTTGAGAATTCATGGTTCTGCACCTGGGATGTCCTTATCCTCTTTCTGTCAGCTCATTTTTTCAACAAACATGTATTGGGCTCTTACGATGTGCCAGGGGTTGTAGAGTTGAACGAGACATGGCTCTTCCTCTCAAGGGAATCACAGTCTAGTGGGAAATCCAGATATATAACATGAAACTAATTATTATTTTATGCAGTATTAGAGTGGCATATGTTGTATCAGAAAGCATCTCTGATCAGAAAGATCACTCAGGCAACTAGGTGGACGGTAAAGTTGAGGAGGACACAGCTACGAGCAGGGAAATCACTTTGGAGATGCTGCCAAAGTCCAAGCAAGAGATGGTGGGGCCTTGAGCTAGGGAAGTGGTAGCAGAGAGAGAGAGAGAGAAGGTAAGAAATTGAAAAGTATTTAGGAGGTAAAATCAGCAGGACAGTGCATGGAGGAGAGATAAGAGGCCAAATGCAGGGAAATGGGAGAATATGCCTCAGAGCAGGCAAAGGCGATTGAGAAGATTGGTGGAGAGCAGAGAGCAATGGCTTCATAGAAAGCCAAGAAGGGGGAGTTCCCTGGTGGTTCAGTGGTTAGGATTCGGCGCTTTCACAGCCATGGCCTGGATTCAATCCCTGGTGGGGTAACTGAGATCCCACAAGCCTCGCAGCATGGACAAAAAAAAAAACCACAAATGCCAAGAAGGGGGTGTGGTTAACAATGTCAGGTGTTACCAGAGGTCACTTAAGATTGGGACTGGAAATTTTCCGATAGGTTAGAAACAAAATGTTCGTTGGTAACCTCAGTGAGCTTGGTTTTAGTGGTACAAGACAAAATTTCATGGGATGACAAGTGAATATCGGGAGAATAAAAGTGAATTCAGACGCAATCATTTTCTCCTTTAGATACCATAGACAGACCACCTAGCGCCTAAAAGATTTTCAAGTGTTCAAAATTATGTTTGAGATCTGAAAAAAATTATTAGCTTCAAAATGCAAAAAGAAAACTGCAAATCAAATTAAGACGTGTAATTAACTATCTCCAAAATGTAACATTGTTTCGACTTCATTAATTTTTAAATTTAATATTCATAAAAACTTCATTACATTTAGAAACTTTTTTTTTTTTTTTTTTTTTTTTTTTTTTTGCGGTACACGGGCCCCTCACTGTTGTGGCCTCTCCCGTTGCGGAGCACAGGCTCCGGACGCGCAGGCTCAGCGGCCATGGCTCGCGGGCCCAGCTGCTCCGCGGCATGTGGGATCCTCCCGGACCGGGGCACGAACCCGTGTCCCCTGCATCGGCAGGCGGACTCTCAACCACTGCGCCACCAGGGAAGCCCTAGAAACAATTTTTTTTGGTTTGATTTTTCTCCTTTTGCAAACATTCTCTTGTATGAACGACTGCTGAGAAATCACAGCCAATTATACATTAACTGTTGCTTGCCACTCCATCACATCAGAAGCAAAATTTTTAAAATGCATTTAACATAAGATGTGGGTGCATTTTCTCCTACTTGCTTTCATGTGGGATGGGTCTCCAAATGTAAGCCTTTTAAGGACTGTCTTAACATAGTTCTTATATAGACAGTTTCAAAAATCTTGCCTAGGGAAGGAAGGAAAGAGAAGGGTATTCACTAGACAGAGCTGGAGGGAGAAGGATTTTGTATTTTTCTTTAAGAAGGGAAAGACATGAGTGTGTGTGTGCACTGAGGGAAAGAGTCAGTAGGGGGAAAAAGGTTGGGGAAGGCTGGGATGGTGACTGAGGGCGACAGGGAAACACTAGAGTCCAGATGGCCGAATTGGACTCGAGGAGGGGAGAACAGCTCTGCAGAAACACGAGGGGAGGTTGAAGCCCTTCAAGGGGATCCTAGTCTTTTTCTACACCAGGCAGAGCTATCCCAAGGTGACAGGAAGGTCTTGTGGTACCTCACCAGTCACTTGGAGCTCTGTTTACCTGAACAGGTGGGCATCTTTGGTATCACAGTCATCACTTCCCCTTCACTGGGGAGCCCTTTCTCTACAAGGGCTGGCTGGAGAAACTAGTTTGTCCATGATGCTCAGATGCACGTCCCAATACCCGGTTCTCACCACCCCTAAATCTGTGGCTGGACACCCCAGCTATGTCCGTGGTGCATTCCCCCTTAAGTGGCCCTTTTGTCCCCGGATGTTCCTATGGTTAAAAGCCTTCTGCCCAAATGGTCCCGGGTTAGGGGGGCAGGTGAACAAATGAAGCCCAAGCACCTTCCTCTTGGAGGATAGAAATCTACTCCAAACGCTGTGTGCCTTCCCTTAGAACTGAGTTTTTAAGTCATCTCCTCTTTCTGATTATTCACAGTAGAGGATGTTTACTCACACAGGTACCCAAGAGTTGGCTGTGTGGACCTGCAGACCAGAGTATACCATCCACTGGGTACATTCATGATGTAAGCCCTTGGAGCCATTGTAGCAGATTATTGGTGTAGGCAGGCACTGTGCCGAGCTGTGTTATTTTCAAAACCAAACAAAACAAAAAACCAACAGACAGCCCTTTGAGCCTTTGTGAGAGAAAACCCAAGGAATCGTAAAATGGCTAGGTAGGGCCATTTTTCCAGCTTTCCAAAGTGTAGGAAGCAGTGTCAGATTTCTGCTTCTGATCCATGGCTCATCTCAGTGTTGTATGAAGCTGGCTTTCCCTGACACCGACATAGCTCTGTGTCCCATGAAGGCACTGCTGGTTGAACAAACACTCAAGTGTGCAGGCATTCCAACAGCACAGGACATAAGCTTCCCTCTTGGCATTTTTCAGGATAAAAGATGCTTTTTGATTTATGAGTTTGGCTCCTCTTGAATCAGGGTTTCATGTGTTTCTGACACTCCCCTAACGTTTGGGTTTCTCTAGTACCAAAAAAAGCATCCAATTACATAGCTAACTCAGTGTTGGACACAACCATATAATTCCAGAAATATCTATTGAGTATATATGATATGCCGGGTATCATGCTTGGCAATGAGGTTACAACCAGAAACTGCCTACCTTCAAGGAACTTAGCCATACACAGTGCTTCCCAAAATACCAATTTGCAAACAAATTTTAGGCCTGGCTGGAAAAGAATCCCTTGTGAAATGCCTTTTAAAATACAGATTCCTGGGCCGCATCTCCAGAGATAGAGATTCAATATGTCTGGGGTGAGGGTTAGGAATCCATACCTTTAATGAGCTTCCCAGGTGGTTCTGATGGCAGCCAGGTTCGGGAACCACCTGGGATAAAACGTTTTACTTTCCAAGTAAGTCTGTTAGTAACACGTTGACACCATTAAGTCAATGTAATTTTTTCTATCCATAGTTTGGTTACGACAGTTGCTTTATATGAAGCAGACACAATACTAGGAAGACTGATGACATTTTTATGAAAGTGCTAGGATTTACTGGCATTTTGCTATCATGTCTCTATATGCTACATCAAAATTTCCCTTAGCCCTTTTCTAAAACTGACTGACCCTCCCACCCCAGAAAGCTTCTCACCAATCTCCTCCACTTGCATCTAGAGCCCTTTTCCCTCTGCTACTCCAGCTATGCTGCATTTTTGGTTCCGAAGAATAATTATATCTCAAGGAACATGTGTGTAAAATGTCTACAAGACTCAGGTTCTGGTCATTCAGCATTTTTGGTAGAATGATTATGTCTCCCAGCTCTTTTACACTATTTTTTGTTCGTTCTCACTTTCTTACAGGACTGGGAATGGAGAATATTGGTGGAATCTTTGTGGTTCTTATTTGTGGCTTAATCGTGGCCATTTTTATGGCTATGTTGGAGTTTTTATGGACTCTCCGACACTCAGACGCGACCGAGGTAAACCTTCTAAGGGGTATGACCTATAGTATTGGCAAGCAGGGCCAAGTTCACAGGCTCACACAGGGACAAAGGTCATTTCAGACAGAACTTGTGAAATCCCACAGGAGGGTGGGGCACCCACGGAACAGCAGCACAGCGGAAAGAATCCCAGTTCCGAGGACAGGAGCTCAGGGTTCAGGCTTCGTCACTTACTAATTATGCAGCCACAGAAAGGGCACATAACCTCTCTGGGCTTCAGATTCTTCTTTGAAACAGCCCAGCAAATAAATCTGTGAAAAATGTTTTATGAACAACGAAGACTTATACAACTATGATTTAAGATGTAGTGTTATAAGGGCAAACAGGCGAAAGTACCAGGTTACTAATGGAAACGATGGCTTTGGTTCTTCCATCTTAAGTATGTTTTTGCCTTGCAGGTAAAGCTGTTTAGAGATATCCCAATTCACGAGAGCTCCTAATGACATCTTCCTTCTCAGGGATTTTGAATAAGTTTAGTTCCCAAACCTGTGGCTTAGAAACTGGGTTAATATAAACTTCACACAGATAGAAGAGTCTGAGAGAAGGAAGACGACTTTACCCCATTCTATCTCCATTCCAGGGCACAAATCATTACACGCTATTTGCATTGTTTGGTTTTTGAAATATATTGGCCTCTGTCTCAATCTCCCAACTCCTGATCGTCCTAAAATCTCCTTCCCTAATTGACAGCTCCTAACAGCAGATAACAGTACAGAAGAGTACAGCACCCCTATAAACCTAGGCGGTCCAGCCTCATGTAGGGCTCCATTCAACACTGCTGACCAGTCTTTTCCTTTTCTGTGCTCAGCCTCTTTCCCACTTCCCAGTAGGACTTCCAAGCCATCACCCACACTCCTCACATCCCTTTGCTCCTCCATGACTAATTTTGCCTCCTGCCTCACCTGGAACTCAGGAGTGACCAGCCCCAAATTAAAACACCCACCTGAAAATTTACCCACAACTGGAGCCACCCCCAGGGCTTCTGCAGGTGTTCTGGTCATCCCTCCATCTCTGCCTTGTTGCCACCTTTCCTCAGCTCCTCTAGGATTATCCTTTTTCTCCCCTTTATTTATTTTTTTTGCCTGCTCTCTCCCCCACGTCCAAAACTATGCTCATGTTTATCCATATCTTCAAATAATAGCCATGATGCTGTAGCTCTTGCCCTACCCCTCTCCTCTTGCAAGCCCAGGTGATCCGACTGCCTCTCTCTCCATGTGCTCGCCTCCCATTCGGGCCTCACTCCACAGCAGCTGGCTTCTCCCCACCCCTTCCCCGAAAGGTCATGGCTGAGAGGTCTGACCCCTCCCAATGAACAAAACCAAAAGAGAACCCACTGGGCCTTATTGGACCTCAGTGTGGCCCTTGATGAAGTGGACCGCTCTTTCCAGAACTCTCTCCTCCCTTGCCTTGCCTGCTCCAAGCTCTCTTGGTTTCCCTCCTCCTTCCCTCTCCAGCGTTACTGGCTTTCTCCTTCTGTCCACCCCTTAAATGGCTGTGCTCTTACCTCTTCCTAAGACCTCGTTCAGGTGTTCCTGTCCCTGTGAAACCTTCCACAGTTCTCCTGCCTTCTTCCCTGGACCAGAAAGTTGCTCATTCCTCCTCCTTTCCACCACCCCTGTAACCAGCACATAGAGCACTTACAAACTGTGTGTCAATTATTTTCGTATCAGCCTGGCTACGAGACATTGCACTGCCTGAAAGTAAGGACTGAGTCCTTTGTGTCTGTATTTTCACTGCAAAGCACAGTGTTTGATACTTAGTTGACAGTCAATAAATATCAATATATGTCTTTATGTTCTTGTCACATATAATAGATCAGGCAGGTGGAGGTGTTTTTGTTGTAATTATTATTAGAAGCACAGAGAAGTTAAGTGACTTGACTACAGTTTCTGCTATTCACTAACAACCTTGGGTCTAGAATCCAGGTCTCAAGTCCTAACTCAGGCCGTGTTCCATTAGGGGATTCTACTTCTCTGTAGCTGCTTCAGGTAGAGGATCTGTGCACACTGGGTTATTCTCCCAAGAGCTCGCCAGTGGTCTGGATGTACCTTGAAAAATTCAGTGAGGAGTTCAAGCTCTCCCAACATCTAGAAAGAAGAATAAAGGCTAAGTTAACTATTTGACTATGGTAGAACAACTATCCTGTTGATAGAACGGGAAGACTGGAAGAAGTAACGTGAAAGAACAGAAAGCTGCCTCTCCCATCGTAATGGGAGAAAGTGTCCTTTCCAGCACAGAGTAGAGAAGAAAGCAGAGCATGCATGTGCTCTGCAGTATGTAGGTTTAGGTTCAAATTCTGGGTCAGCTGTTTGTTAGTCGAGTGATTTCTGGCAAGGTATCTAACTTCTCTGAGCCTCTATTTCCACATCTGTGAAATGGGTATAACAGTAGTAGTCGAGGTACAGGTTCAAGATTCTTCATCCACAATTCTGAAACCTCAAAAGCTCAAAAAGTTCCAAGCTTTTTGTAAGTTTGATGCCAATGCTTTTGGTGACAAACCTTGACTTGGACTTGTATGAGGCTAATGTTTATGGTCTTTAACTCACCTGGTGTGAACGTATATTCATTTTGCTACAGAAATATTAATGTGTTTGAATACAGGGTCTTCCCCAGAGCCCACTGGAAGTGATACATATTTTATGTGCATTGTATTACCTTGTCAAAATTCAAAATATTTTGAAACACAGCTGGACCCAAGAGTTTCTTATCAGGAGATGGCAGAGCTGCAGGAGTAGATTGCCTTGTTTTTGTTATTATAGTTATTGTTAGAACGCAGCCTTTCCAGCCATAACCAGCTGATTAAAAGAAATGAGACTCTTTGGCCTGAGAACAGAATGTTCATGGAGACATGGTTGTTTTTTCACAGGCTTGAAAGACTGACATGCGGTAAAGGGATTATTTATTTAGTCGGCTTCAAGGTCCAAATTTAACTGGGATGGATGGATGAAAAGTTCAGGGAGAGGAATTAAGTCAGTAGAAGGAAGCAGCCTTTAAGGGTAATCCGCAAAAATGGTAGCGGCACCTTCCCAACAGGGTGAGATCAGTGTCTTTGAAGCCGTTCAAAGACGAGACGACCAGCTGGCGGGATGGTATGGAGGATGTTTGAATATTAAATAGCGGGTGGAAGTGAGGAGGTGGATTGAAAGACCTTCAAACATTTAAGATGATATAATTGTGAAACACTGCACCCTAATCGCGCGCCCGAATGAGCCCGCAGGGGACCCTCGGGGGCTGGTCCTGAGAGGTCGGGCTGTGACCTCCTCGTGTCCTCCAGGTGTCCGTCTGCCAGGAGATGGTGAGCGAGCTGCGCAGCATCATCCTGTGTCAGGACAGTGTCCACCCGCGCCGGCGGCGCGCCGGGCTACCGCCGCCGCAGCCCCCCATCCCCGAGGAGCAGCGCCGGCCCCGGGGCACCGTGACCCTCAGCAACGGCAAGCTGTGCGGGGCCGGGGAGCCTGACCAGCTGGCGCAGAGACTGGCCCAGGAGGCCGCCCTGGTGGCCCGCGGCTGCACGCACATACGCGTGTGCCCCGAGTGCCGCCGCTTCCAGGGCCTGCGGGCGCGGCCGTCGCCGGCGCGCAGCGAGGAGAGCCTGGAGTGGGAGAAGACCACCAACAGCAGCGAGCCCGAGTAGCCCCGCTGCCGAGGATGCTCGGCTCCCCGGCCCGCTGCGGAGGCGGGATGCGCTGAGCCCGCCATACTGCCGGCGGGGCCCCCGGACTTGTACATCGTCCACCCTTCTCTCCAGATTTTGGATCCAGTAACTTTACAAAACGATCAAAGAGCCTGACGCCCCAGCCGGAGACGGCGCCCTGGTCCGGGGAGCGGAGACGTTGAGCCCGAGTGGCAGGGGACGCTCTCCCACCTGGCCACAAGCCCCCTCTTCCCGCAGTGGGCCTTTCCCTCCCAACAAAACTAAAGAGTCGGGGTGGGAGGGGTCCCTGCCCAGACCGTCTGATGGATTGGTGGCATCATCAGAGGAATTTCCCCCTAGGAAGGGGCCATTGTACCCTGGGTCTAGTTCTTACAGGAAAAAAAAAAAAATTAAACTCAACAGGGAAGTTTTTCTTTTCTGGATTTGTATATTTTTGTTAATGTTCTTTTGTTTTCTCTGTTTCTCTCCTTCCCTCCTTTTCTTCTTTGTTGTCTCAATTCTATTCCTTTGTTTCGTTTTCTTGGAGGGGGAGGCTGGGTTAGGGAATTGAAGTCACAATAATCCCTGTTACCATTTTCCTAAATTTTAGAATATGAAGCGGCCAGTGCATCAGACTACAGACGCTGAACTCTCCTTTCTGTGTGGTGACTGGGGCCACAGGGCATGCAGGAGGTGGTGAATTAGGTGGAGAATATCAAAGAAAGGTCCAGTAATTTTTTAAATGCCAAAACCCAATTAACTCATAGTTTACTGAGAGACCTTGAAATGCCTGGGATTTCAGAGGTTAATTTGTCCTTTCTTTCTCTCTCTTTTCGACTTTCCCTATGATTGGGTTTGATTTGGTCTTTGGTGAATGTGATCTCTGAAGAAGAGAGATAGCGGAGGAGAGTAGAAGGCACAAAGTATCCCAGGCCCTTGTTTAAGGAGCAGAGAGGGTAAATACAAATTTCCCCAACAGTGGCCTTGGCTTCAGCAGGAACGTGCTGTCTTCAGGTGGGGAAGGATGGGGCTGTCCTGCTGGTCTGGTGCATACTTTGTCAACTGCACCTCTTTTTAATCAAACTCGGTAGCTGCCTATGAAGCCAGACCCCCCAAGGCTATCATGGATTGGGTGATTTCTTGCTACTAGATGTGAGACCTCGGTGCAAATGTGTGTGTGTGTGTGCGCGTGTGCGTGTGCGTGTGTGTGTGTGTGTGTGTGTGTGTGTTTATTATATGGGAAGATCTTAAGTAATCAAGAATTTGCCAGGTTCCTGGGAGAGAGGTAGGGTCTTGTAGTCAATACACAGGCCTGGGAACTAGGGACTCTTGAGTCCTCACCTAAGCATGGGCAGTAGCCCCCCTTGTATGACTTTACATGAAGCATCTCACTTCTCTTTCATCTACACAATCGGAGTTACTGATGCTTTCCAGGCTGTCAGATGCCTGCTAAGTACTTCTCTACTTGTGAGATGTTTGCAGTGTCCGGAGCACTCAGAGGGAGGGGTGAAGCTTCTCAGCAGCTGTTTGACCTTTGGTTGGCTTCGCCAGTTGGGAGTTTCACACAGAGAGTTTTCATTTTCTGATTGAAAACAAATTCTATGCAATTTCTGTTTGTCAACTTAGAAAATTCAGAGGAGAGAGAACTAAACAGCCACTAGGGCCATCTCCCCCGCTGTCACCACCTTGAATCAAATTGTCCTCACGTTGTTTCTGTTCTGAACGTACTAAAATAAAGACACCTTTGCAAGACAACGAGCTTAATTCCATGTTTTTGCCGTCGACATTAGGTCGACATCTTCTTTGTGCCAGGATTATTAGTTAGAACTGCCATCCTGGGGGTACCCCGATGGTTCCTATAAAGGATGCCAGTTTTGTCCTAGGCTGACCTCTTCTCTCTTATGAATTTGAATCTTTTTACTTTTCCCTCTTAAACCATCAAATGTCGGCAAGCTCTGCAGGACATGAGTCTTTTTTTAAACCTTGCTTAGAGCCTCCTGGAGAAACGTGGATTTGGTGGGAAGGGCACCTGAAGGCAGATGGACGGCAGACTGCAATGGTGCCATGCTGCCCCGACCCACAGCTCCATTCCGTGCTTCTGACAATGTGGTCCCTACTGTCAGATCGCACGTGGGGCAGGAAGGGTTGTTTTTTAAAAAAAAAAAAACACACACACACAAAAAAACTCGTTTTTATGAGCAGGATATCTTGATCAATAGCAAACTTTTATAAAATGGATTGGTGAAATAAATGTCCACATGAATCATTTATAAAGTCTGTTTCTTTCACGGAATAAAGATAAGACTGACAGCGCTAGGCATTTTCTATTAGCTGCTGGGACCATTGCTGCACCTCACTGAAGCTGGTGCGTGAATCTGCAACCAGCTAGGTCTCTTCCTTGGTTTGTCTCCACTTTTTATCTGTCGGCTGTCGGCTTTCTTTTCCATTCTGTATTTTCTATCTGATTCTGTATACTGTATAAAGCCGTTTTTTCTTATCTGTTTATCTTTCTTCGACTGCAATATTTACAATAAAACAGAAACAAACCCTGAAATGTTAGTGATGGATGAAAGCTGTCTGGGTTTGGAAAGAATGGCTTGATGTGTCTAAAATCCAGGTACTCTGAAAGCAAATAAAAGTAGAAATCCACATTTTGTCTTCCCCTCCACCTGCCCTTTTCTCGCTCCCTCTCCATTCCCTATCCTCTTCCGCTCTTTGTTCAGACCCCAGAAAAATCTAGGTGGCTTCTTTCAATTTGTAGTCCTGGAGGCAGAGCCAATCCCCCGCCCCTCCCCAAACGGATACACATGTTAATGAAGTTCAGGATTCATAGGGTTTTGTCTTCCTAAATGCACTTTCACAGAATAGTCATCTATTGATACCTAGGGTAACTCTAGTCAGATATCACCCCAGATTCCACTGGGAGCTTGAAGATTACATCAATTAAAATATAATACTTCGCTTTATTTCTTTTAATTGCCTTGCAGGGCCCCAATCGTCACCAGATCTCTACCTCAGAACCCAGGTGGGGTGTAAGTTGAGCATGTAGATGGCCGAAAATCTTTTGGCTTCCTCTAATCCAAAGCTTATATGAGAATATTCATCCTGGGAACTTGCCAACCGGCCCTCTTATTGGTTAGGTGAGACCAAAATATCATGATAACCAATCCACCTGGGGCCACTCTGTGAAAGTTTATTAGTTTGGAATTCCAAGGAGTTTAATTTTCTTTTGGAATCCAAGGGGGACTTCCCTATGGTGTAGGAGTCACATACACGAGGCCAGAAAGGGCATTTCAGACACGGCAGGTTGGTGGCTTGAGTGGAGCTTGAGAGAACCATTTGCAGCCCTCCCGCCAAGGGGGTGTGCAGCAGTAAAGCAGTCTGGACACGATAAGGGAGATTTGATTCCCTGACTGGTAGGCAGCTCTCTTGGGGTAATAACAAAGAGACCTGTTGGGAAAATTCAGAGAAGGAATCCTTTCATAAAGATTTCACTTAAAGCTAGTGCTTCCTATGGGGCCTCTCAAAGAGAAAAGTAAGCTTTTAGTTGCCCTGAGTTATTCCAGTGCCTTTCTGTGAAAGGTGGCTCCCTGCCCCCCACAGGCAGATCCCTCGCCATTAGCCCAACGGAGTGTCCTCCGTGGCTGACAACCTGGGAAACCTACAGTGTGACTCAAAGATTGGTGACGATGTGACTTCAGAAAACTCTTCTCACAGAAAAAATATAGACTCACGCTATCTATCTATCATCTATCTATCTACCTACCTACCTACCTATCTATCATCTTTCACAACTGGTGTGGGTGCAAAGAAAGAGGTCGCCAAGTTTTAGAACTGAAGAGGTCAACAACCCCATTATCATTTAAGGGCAACTGGGCAAGAGAAGTTCTGTCACTATTAACAGAACGTTATCATTCAAATTTTGTTAATTTCATACCAATTTCCGAATCTGAAGAATGAATGAAAAAAATATGAATATTGCCATTAATCAAATGGTAGAAATAGCAGTGAGATCAAGAAAGAAAAAAGTATACAAAGGGAATAAAGTGAAAAACAACCTCTCTGATCAGAAAAGGCAGAAAATTTGAGGGCCAAAAAGGGGCGTAAAGAAATTGAGTATCAATCTCCCCGTACATTAAGTAAGAGCGTGCATCTAAATATTTCACTAGTCGGACTGAACAAAGCATGTCAGAGAACCAGTGCGTTGTGACAGTGTTGTGTCTGGGGAATTGACCCTGTTTACAAAGGTTAGAATATGCAGAGTCTATATTATAGAGGATGGAGGTCAGACCCATAAGTACAATGATCCTCCCGCTGGAAAATTAGCTAAAGAATCCTGCCCACTCCTCAGTAACCCTTGTGCGCGATCCAATGTTCCCTCTTGACTATGGCAGAGAAGTCAGAGGGGAACAGGGACCCAGGGACCTCTCACCCTGTGGGGACTTTTTCATACATTGGTGAGTGACCTTGAGAGGTACTTCTTTAGTACACAGCCCCACATTAGATTCTGTGGGATATAATGAAGAAGTGGAAGAAACTCTCTGTCCTCTGTCTGGGAAGACAAAACTTACGTGTAAGAAACAATGAAAGTAAAGCACAAAATATCCAAGTGCTGGAGTGTGTGATTTGGAATACAAACCATATAGACATTCAGAGAGGCTAAAGATTCCCAGTAGGGGAAGAAGCAGGACTGTTTGTGTCTTGGGTTTGTTAAAAAAATTATTTTGACATCTAGAAAAATAAGCTTTCCCTTCATCTCCCTGGGAATGAAATATGGTTAATTCATGCAGATGAAATCAGTGCCCTTCTGGTAAGAGACAGCTTGTTGTTGCTGTTGTTTTGTTTCACCCACGGCGTCCCTTTTTGCAGGATTCCAGCTCACCTGTTATGCTTCTTCCTGTTTGCTGCCAATACCGGTTAGAGATTTTCACCGCTATCTCATTCCTGGGCTTCTTTAAGTTGTATTAGTGGGATTAGCTGTAGAGATGAACAGCCTAGCTCTACAGAATACAGAAAGACTAACTGAGAAATAATCAATGAAATGATCTGAAGTGGATTATGGGCTCTTTAAAAAAGAAAAAGATCAAATACTTTTTAAACTGGGGGTAAGGATGGTGAATACAGAACTGAAGGTGTGGAACCAACATGAAAAATTAATGCAGAACCAAATCCCCAAATTTCTGATGTACAGGAACATTCAGAATGATTTTGCTTTTTGGTCCATTAAACCATCCAGTTATCTGAAGCACATGGAGTCCGCCTGGAAAATTATTCTACTTGGATTGTTCTGGTTAGATTCTTAGTATCTTTTCCATTAAAAGTAACAAAATGTAACTTCTATTTCTACATCATCTGTAATCCTGGAGCACCAAGTGGACATAGAAAAGCACACTAAATCAGCAAAACCTGGTGACGTGTGATGGTCAAAGGAGAGGTAAGCAGTACAGGACAGCATTCCCGGAGACAGTATATACCCACACACTCAAATGTGGTAACGGGACTTAAAAACTAGCTTAAAGAGGATCCAATGAAAAACTACTGCTGTACAGAGAGACTTAAATTTATTTCTCTGCGCTGCTTTTGCTCCCCTTTATATAAGCTAAGCTGGCATGTGTGTGTGTGTGAGCTTAGCACAGACCTGCAGATTCCCATCAGGGCTCCTTATGTCCATTTCAAAAGAGAGAAGACACTTTCCATGATCACTTCAGCCTGTGTCCGTGCTTCTAGATAACATTGCTGGGTTTAGTCTTCTGGCTTTTAGTGGATTGGTTCTCACTGAGCGGTCTTGGATGTAATTTATTTCTAAGCCAACCTATATGTAGATGCATGAATTAAAAGGTGTTTTACTTACAACCATTCCCAGTTGAATGATAAGATGCCTGAGATGACTTCTTAAAACCTCTCCCCCTTCACCCCCATCAGCTGCAAAACAGAGTTCCTCTAGCATGAATAAGTGACCAAGTAAAATGTTCTGCCGATGGTGTAGCAGAACACAGTCAGTGAGAACAAGAGCAATGCAGGTTGACATTCCTCTGTACTCAACGCTTATCAATAGCCTTGCCCATTGTAGGCAGAAAATAATTTTCAGAAAGGTCAGGTAATGAAATTGTTAAAATGAAAGTGGTTAGGTTGGCCAGTGAGGTACAGAATTCAGAAACTACGTTTTGATTCAGCTACCCTATTTTTTGTTGCAAATAAAACAGCAGATTTGCTGAGCCTGCCATGATTTCCAGAGGATGTAAGACCCTCCCTGAGTCAGCCCTCGCTGATCTTTCAACCTTCTCCTGACACTTCTCCCACCCACCTTCCATCCTACCCTGCAGTCTAACCATACCGCTTCCTATTCTGCATTTATCCTGTGTATCCCATGCTTTTCTTCTCCTCTGCCTATGCTTTGGCAGTTCCCAGCTCCTGGAAATCTCTTCCCATTCAACTCTCCATTGACAAAGTCTATCCTTCTATATATATTTTTTAAAATTTTATTGAAGAATAGTTGATTTACAATATTGTGTTAATTTCTTCTGTACAGCAAAGTGACTCAGTTATATATATATACATATATTCTGTTTCATATCCTTTTCCATTAAGGTTTGTCACAGGATATTGAATATAGTTCCGTGTTCCGTATAGTTGTTTATCCATCCTATGTATAATAGTTTGCCTCTGCTAATCCCAAACTCCCAGTCCTTCCCTCCCACATCTCCCCTACCCCTTGGCAACCACAAGTGTGCTCTCTATGTCTGAGTCTTTTTTTTCATAGATATATTGATTTGTATCGTATTTTAGATTTCACATAGAAGTGATATCATATGGTGTTTGTCTTTCTCTTTCTGACTAGTTTGCTTAGTATGACAATCTCTAGGTCCATCCATGTTGCTGCAAATGGCTGCCTGTGCATATTTAAGGTCCAGCTCAAATGTCATCTCCCCATGATGGCTTCATGATCCCCATCCCACGGCAGTAATGACCTCTCCTGTCCTGAACATTCCCAACCTTTCTCTCTGTCCCTTATCACTTCCTACATTGAATCATATGTGTTTACTCTCACCTACCCCTGTAAGGCCCTGTAAGTGCAGAGAAAATGCCCTTTCCATCTTTTATTTGTTCACAGCGTACAGGGTTCTTTGCACATATTTGGTTCCCACGAATGAATG